TGTTTTTGCCATCCCTCCTCCGACTGATCGAAGGAGTCCAGCGTCTGCTGCCTCTCCTCCACTTGCTTGGCCACCAAGTCCACCAAGCGGTCCAGGTAGTCGCTCCACGTCTTCTCGAAGGTGCTGCGAGCGCTCGTCAACTTGGAGAGCTCCCGCCTGGCCTGGGTCTGCTTGGCGACGAGGGAGTGCAACTGCCTGCCATGCAGATTGTGACTTTCTGTACGATATTGTGTCACAAGAGCCTCCACTTCCGGAGACAGCACCGTCCCCGCTGTCGTGATCTGGGCTACCAGGGTATCCAGAAGCCGACGGTCCTCTGTCACTTGGCTGCCACTGCTCTCGGCACTTCCCTTGGGGGGGGCCGGTACTGTAACCTGCGGTGGGGCCGGCAGCTGGGAAACGCTCGGGGCCGTCGTGGGTCTGTCGCCATGCCCCTCTGCCCCCTTGCCTCGGCTGCGGTTGCCCTTCGGAGCTGTATTCGTGCTTCCCGGGCCCTGCTTTCCACCACCTTTGGAGCGGGTTCGCGGTGATCTCGGCCTGGTCCGGGGGGAGCTCGTCCGCGCCCCGGTNNGTCCAGCCACCAGGAGGTGGCTGTTGCTGCCACGCCTCCTGCCATCCGCGTCCACACGACGAACAGAAATTGGCCAATGCCCGATTGAAAATCCGGCACTGGCCACATTTCCACCCTTGGCTCATCCCTGATGAGTGATGCTGCCTCAGCAGCCTCCTCGCTGCTTCCAGTTGTGTAGGGCACGGCGCAACCCAGTTCGAGGAGCTTGCTCTCAAAAGGGTCCTTGCAGCTGTGCGCCGCCTGCGTTGCCGTCTGTGCCACGCAGGTTCGGACACCCACGTGTCCCTGGAAGGCCGCTTCGTGGCCGGCACTCACCCCAGAGGCCCAGCAGAAGCTGTAAATCAGGAACAAAATGAAACTTCCAGTCAAGGCTGGCAAACCCATGCGCAGCGGTCGACAGGGGCCAGAAAAGGGGCGCGACTCCCCAGAAAGCGCAGATTCCAGTCACACGTAAGTGTGAGGAAGATCCAAACTACCCTCGCCGGGCGTACAGGTAGCAGGATGAGATTGTAGCAGCTCCACAATGGCCGGCTGCAAGTAGTCGCGGGCAAGGAATGCTGCCACGCGTAGGGTCACGACCGCAGGAACCCGGACTCCCTAGGGAGAAACTACGGGCCTGGGCCGAAACGCCTAGGGTTTAGGGTTTAGGGTTTAGGGGTTTAGGGGTTTAGGGTTTAGGGTTTAGGGGTTTAGGGTCTCAAGCGATAAAGTCATGGAAGCTTCCGCAGGATCCACCTGCAGGCCATGAGAACCGTCATTATGAATTTATAAAGCCCTGGCTGCAGAAACTTCATGCAAGACCCTTATGGGGCCTGTAGGGGAAGCCCTATAATCAAACACTGATGAACCCGACAACCCTTAAAACACTTGCTATGCCACGGAACCTTAAACCTTCAACCCTTCTGATAGGACCCTCAAAAGGGCACGAGTTTAATATAAAAGCCTGAGTAGTTACTAATATACTACCTGTTTCGCGGGTTGCTTCTTATAACACTATACGGTCATCCCGCCAAACCCCGAAACCCTAAACCGTAATGCCTGCTACAGACCCTAAACCCTAAACCCTAAAACCCTAAAGCCCTAAACCCTACAAGCCTAAACCCTGAAACCCTAACGCCCTAAACCCTCAGCCCTAAAACTTCGCTATTATCTCTGGGGGGTTCTTTCACCCTAAACCCTAAACTTAACACCTAAACCCTAAACCCTCTCAGCCCTAAACCCTAAACCCTCTCAGCCCTAAACCCTATAAGCCCTAAACCCCAAACCCTATAAGCCCTAAACCCAAAACCCTATAAGCCCTAAACCCTAAACCCTAAACCCTAAACCCTAAACCCTAAACCAACAATTCAAATTAAGGCCCCTCTCTTACGGCCCTGGCGCAGCCCCAGCCTTGACAGGCTCTCCGAGCTCCATGGCGCCTCTGAGGGCTTAGGGTTTATAGGGCTCATAGGGTTTATAGGGCTTTTAGGGTGTATAGGGTTTTTAGGGGTTTATAGGGTTTGTAGATGTTTTAGGGTTTTTAGGGTTTTTAGGGTTTATAGGGCTTATAGGGCTTATAGGGTTTATAGGGTTTATAGGCTTTTTAGGGTTTTAGGGTTTAGGGTTTATATAGGGTTTAGAGATACCCCCCAAAAGACCACGGAAGCAACAAGAGATCCTGGTTTTTACAGGTTAGGATTTATAGGGCCTTGAGGGGTTTAGGGTTTAGCATGTGGGGTTAGAGGATTCTGGACTTTTCAAAGGTTTAGGGTTTAGGGGGATTCTAAGAAGCATCTTGATCCTATCAGCATGTTTCTGTGATCTTTTCGTCCTCGTTCGCGGAGCCGGAGAGGGCAGTAACGAAGAAACTGAGCCGGTTCTGGTCCTGGTTTATGCACTCCCTCGATTTTGTAGCGCAGGAGTCCGATTATAGCTTTGGTAGTGGGGGAGAGGGCTTTGTTTCTTGGAACTCTTCGATTCCGGTGCCCGAAAGTGGATGTGCATGGGTCAGAATTCGTTAATGCCAGTGTTTCAGCTGGTGGGCCAAAGTGACGCCCGAGCGGACTCTGCGAACCTCTGCGAGAGTTTAGTCCTTGGTTGGTTTCTGCAGCAGTAGTACAGAGTATAAAAGTGCAAATGAGTAGAGTATAGTACAAGTAGTAGGGTATAGTAGAGCATACGGAGCATAGTATATGGTAGAGTATAGTACAGTATAGTATGGTCTAGTTCCGTTTAGCAAAGTAGTGGTAACCACAATAACCCGAAACCCTAAACCCTAAACCCAATATTAACCTTCCTCTCAACCCACTCAGATGCGGCTTCGAGTCTGGTGCTCTCGAATCTACGCAAGCTCATGGTTCCTCTGTGGGTGCCCAGCAGACTGGGTTTAGGGTTAAGGGTTTAGGGTTCGGGGTTCAGGGGTCCGTGTTTTAGGGTTTAGGGTTTAGTGCCTCACTCTTTGTGGTGCTTAGGACAGATGCATATCTGCTGCAGCCATGTCGACGCGATTACTTTGGCTAGCAGCGCTGGTGCCTGGCTTGACTGCAAGCCCTAACAGCGCGAGCATTTACACAAAGTAGCTTTACGCAGTCTATCCGTGGCTACTTCACAACGAAAGCCCGAAGCCTTAACTTTCTACTCAGACCCCAAACCCCCAATTCGTACCCTGAGTCTGAATCCACCACCCTCACTCTTGAGCCCAAGACCCGACATCCTTGACCGGACACAGATTAGTTAGCCAAGTTGTGTTTGAGGGTTGGTTGGACCGCCGATGCTACTGTAGCGCCTTATGTGCGTGATGGGAAGCCTTGCGCAAAGCAAACTCACTCCTCAGACTGTCGCAAACCCTAAACCCTGAACCCTAAAACCCTAAACCCTAAAAACCTAAACCCCTAAACCCTTGTACCCCTAAACCCTGAACCCTAGGCTCCTACACCCCTGTACCCCTATACCCCCGAACCCTAAACTCAACCACAAGCACCATCCACGAGAACCCAACAAGACCGGACCAAAGCCTCCCAACCCGTCTGGCCACTCCGCCCTGCAACCTCAAACTTCCAGGGTTCAGGGTTTAGGGTTTCTAAAGAGGGTTTAGGGTTCAGGGTTTAGGGTACAGCTGCGTAATTCATACCTGAAAGCCTGGATCTAGCGCTCTTGGAGAGCCATGGCTGTTGCACAGCCTGCGCCGCGGGTGACGCGTTGGAGCTCGAGGCGTCTTGGCAGTGGGAGTTTCCGCGGTTTAGGATTTAGGGACCTTACACAGATAGTTTTCTGAATTAGGGTCCCCTTTTAGGTCCTCAATATAGCACGCTATAAAAAAGCACCCCAAAAGGCACCCTAATTTAGAGAACTACCCATATAGATGTTTCAAGGAATTCAGAAGCAATAACGAGAGTTCGGAGCGGTTTAGGATGAGTTTAGGGTTTAGAGTTTAGGGTCTACCTTAACCCCAAAGAACCGACCTTTTTAAGGAATCATATATAGAAACTATAATAAGGATCCCTAAAAAGGTAGGTTCTTTAGGGTCTAGGTAGGGTTTAGGGTTTTTGAGAGTCTCAGGCTTAGGATTCTGGGTCGAGTCTGCGGGGTGTACGGCAATACTTGGGCCTGAGAAAACGGTACAAGCGAACCAAGAGGGTCCATATGTGCTACCATTATGGAATTAGGTCCCCAAAACCAAAATAACGATAGTCTACTACCATTATGTAATTAGGTCCCCAAAACCATAATAAGGATGGTCTTTTGGGCTCTAATTCCAGAACTGTAGTATATGTGGACCCTCTGGGTAATGTGGGTTAGCAGACCCACACCTCAGTCAAATTGTCTGGGGCGCTATATAGCAATTATAGCAACACACACACACACATAGCTTTGCCTACGTAAGCCCTAACCCCACTTTGGCCGCCGGCTGTTCAGGACGGCAAGGTAGGGAGGTGCAGGGAAAATCTCAAAATGGTCAGCTTCCACACAATAACGATGCGGGCTGTACCCTGAAAGAGGTAGTAGTTTCCGATTCAAAGACTCTTTCCAGGGAGCAGCCAAGAAATATCTCACTGGGCTGGAGGCATTTCCAGAGCCCTAGAGCCCAAATCGTGGGCCCTAAAATTTGGAACCTAAACCGCCAAGCCCCAGAAATCCTGAACCCAAAATCACTAGAATCAGTCTAAGATGCCCTAATCATGCAATTCGAGTTTCTCAACTCGGTCCTTCGAGTTGTGAAGTCGGGTTCCTGGCTTTCACAGCCAGGGTTAAGGGTTAAGGGTTTGAAGTGTTCGGGTTTCGGGTTTGGTTTAGAGTTTAGGGTATAGGGTTTCTGAAGCACCTGCCTATCACAAAGACATGCAATGTATGCATGGTTTCTACTGTTATGTCCCTAAACCCTAAACCCTAAACCCTAAACCCTAAACCCTAAACCCTGTTATGTCTTTTGTAACTAGACATATCCCGCATTCTGGTGCTTCGGACCTTTGGTTTGAGGTCGGAACCGCTACAGGGCTTTGCCCAGGGGTTTTGGGTTTAGGGTTTAGGGTTTAGGGTTGTGGCTTTAGGTTGGGGATTTAGGACCTTTAGTTTGAGGTCAGATGGTGTTTTCTCTGGTCGTTGAGCACCTTGCGAGAGCTTCGTGGGCTTCCATAGTCCTACTATGAATCCATGGTGAACCATGGTAAACCCTAAGCCCTACCCTAAACCCTAAACCCTGAACCCTACATGAAACCCCAAAGTCTTCCAATCCTTATAGAGCCCTCCCGAAGTCGTTCGTAGGAACTGCCACCCTAACCCCGAAAAGTTCCCCCAAAACCAACCCACGAGGCCTACGCCGATCGCCAGGCAGCCAGAGCACTCCCAAAAAGAAGGCACGGCTTCCGTTTTTTTGTTTGAAGGGTTTGGGCCTTGAGGTTTTTGGTTTAGGGTTTATAGGGCTTATAGGGTTTACAGGATTTGGGGTTTGGGGTTTAGGGACCTTGTTTGGAAAGAAAGATCTTCAAGGTTCAACGAAACGGGTTGAATCCGGGCTTCTTCAAGATGTTGCTGGCTCCATGAGGGCTTGACTTGTCGCAGTTAGGGCCCTAAACCCTGAAACCCTAAACCCCTAAACCCAAAAATCTCAACCCTAGTCCCCTGAACCCTTTTAGGGTCTCCATTGTAGTTCCTTTTTTGGGGATACCTTATAAAATCTCGAATATATAATAATAGGTTAAACCACAAAAAGGAACTACAATGGAGACTATAGGTAGGGCCTTTGGAGGCGCCTTGGGGCAGCCGGAACCAGAAACTCAAGCACCGGAATTCTCAGAACTCCAGCTCTTCACATCTGTTTGGTGCTTAGTAGGGAATGGGTTTAGGGTTTAGGGTTTAGGGGGAATGGGTAATGAGGACTACTATAAGGGACCTTAAGGGACTATCAT